ACTTCACACAAAGCATATAACATTCAACATTTATGTAGACAACAATTATTTACCCAATATATTATATAAAATGGTATTAAGTTTGCAATTATTTTCATATATTCCGTGCAATAAAGTTGAAGCAGATGGCTTTTTTGTTCGTTCTTTTTGCTTGACAAATTTAAATCTAGACAGTTAGTTTTAGTTTCTTTTTTCTTCCTAAATAAAAATGGTCCATGTACATATACATATATATGCATATATATAGAGCATAGATTAATACCTTTTAAAAACAAAATTATGTGTAACACTTAAGTGCTGAGATACATTCTCTTGATGCCGTTAAGCGATAGTGTCGGCGTAGTGTAGGGGAACAATGGTCCGCTTGTAAATTTATATATATATAATTGATTGATTAGTCTGCCATGAAAAAATATTAGATGTGCAAGAATGGTATAAAACAAATCTCTTTATAGGCGTATGAAATATCCGTCAACGAGCATAAAATTGTGAATTTTAAAAATAATTCCGTTTAAGAAACGAAACCAAAACAAAGTGCATTTGCGTGAATGACAAATGAATGACATAAGTTCAAGCTGTCAAATCTAGGGAGAATAGCGCTAGCTCTGTTATATGTCACATATCTGAAACGTCAACGTCCGCAAGGTGAAAGTTGTAAGTTAATTCATATGATTCTCATCATGTGTAAGTTATAAAAAAAAAAAAAACATCTTAGTAAAGAAATGACTAAAATAATGTCTTCACTATCGATATATTTTCAGAAGAGAATTTTTATCTCCTTGAATCGAGTAGGAATTCACTACCATTTCCGACGGTTTCTTACAAGGTAATTGCAAACACAATTTTTTTAGACCATGCAACCATTCCTCTGGATGGCGATGGCGATATGCTTTGGTACTAAAATTTTGCGAAGTTCATTTTACTCAACTAAATAAAAAAGTAACCAAAAAAAAAAGAGAAAGGTAAAATGAGAAAAAAATTAAATTGACATTTTCCAAACTTTTCAGATATTTGACGTGTCTTAAATCGTCGTCATGTTATAGTGTCTGAGTAGGATATATTCACGGCACTGTCATCATTAATACGTCTTTTTTAAAAATAAATTTAAGTACAAGGAGGAGGTATCTAATGTACGCAATAACTTGCTACGTTTGGATTTCAAAAATTATGAAGGGTCCATAAAACAATTCGAAAATCAATACTTTCGGAATTGAAAGGGGATGTTCAACGTATACCACGGCTAAAGCCTTTGTATCCAGATATAGATGATAGTGCTTCCATTGGAGATGCGAATAAAAAGAAGCCAACATGGAAAATTAGTTTCCAACGAAGAAGATACCGAAACGGATGAATATCCAAAGAAATTGCCAGTAGTGGAAAATGAAGAAGATATTAACGATGAATTCCATGAATTAATTTCGAAAAAGTCCTCGTAAACCAAGCGGAACAGAGCTTCTCATAGGTATCATCCTGTTACATCAGTCTCTACCTAAGCTTAAAGTTATCATCAATGGCTCTAATAAGGATTATGGATCTAATTTTAATGTCAATATTAAAAAAAATAATAAAAATAGTATAAAGTTTTAGACCTCCTTTCAGGTCATAAGGAAGCACAAAGGTAAATAATACATTTTTTTCATCGTCGAAGGATTGCCATTACTATCTTGTACATGTTTGAGGTATAAAATGCATTGCTGTAAGCTTAAAGTACATAGATCGCTTTTTTGCATAACTTTCCGCACACATAAATATTTTTGTGAATAGTAAGCCTTCACCTAGAAACAATATTTGTGCGAGCGTTATGTCTTTTTGACACACCAGCTACCCCCAAAAATTATTTGGAAAATCGTCAGTAAATCATTTATCTGCGGTTGCGGCGGCCGAATCTACGAAAAAGCAAGAAATGCTTTTGTTGAAAACCTCGGAGAGGCCACGCCCGTTACCATTGGAACGACAGAGCTCTAAACAACGTCGTGCAACCGCAGACAGCTAACGTAAATCCACTTACACCAGATAGTAAGTTTATCGCCTTTATTGTAAAACTGTAATATATAAATTGGTAACGCGCATTGTCTCATAGGTTTGATGGCTCACTAAGTTCGTTACTATCGTTTGATGAATCGTGTTCAGTAGCCAACTCTACATCATATTGAAAACCTGTTTTCGTTGCATCGATTAACTTATTTGATTCAAAGCATCTCAACCAAATTCACAAGGTATACTTTACCGCACCGGACACATTCATCCTGCTGCTCTCCTAAAATTTTGAGAAATACAAAATTAAATACATTACACTGAAAGACCGAATACTGCATATCAATTTACCTTCGTGTGTTCTCAGTGTGCTCGTAAATTGCAGGCTAAAGCAAATTACTTCTTGCACAACTCACAAATATATGGCTTTTCACTTGCCGGGGTAAATACGTATACGATACATTTGTCATTAGTTATGTTTATCTACATACATATATATGTCAATGTATAGTGATACTTGTGTGAACATCTATTAGACTGGTTTTGTATTTTATGATTTCTTTTATCAAAAGAAAAGTTTGAAAACAATTCGGCATCCACGAGTTGAGATTAATTGATTGTATTTTACGCAATAGTTTGAATTGATCTTCTAATATATCGTCTATTTGCCTTTCTAGTGAGTAAAAGTGGCTCGTTATCTCTTGCAAGAATTTTCTAGTACTTATTAATTTCCGAGAAAATCTTTTTTTTATACATAGAGTGGAACATGTAAGCACAAAATATTTTCCGTTCCTTTACTTGCTACCGAACGCCAGGTATTGAGAATCTCAATAACCGATTTTTGCAATTATTTCTCACTACTAACGACGATGTGTTGTGTAGTGACACCACTCAAAAATTAAGGTTCTTTTATTTGGTTGATTATTTTAAAGTCTTTTATGTTACTTTTCTTTTAGATTCTTGCTTATATTCTGACCTGAGTGAGGTATGGTCAGGTGTCTTATATAACTAATAATTTAATGCTAACTCAAGCGAATAATATAATTGAAGTAGGTTATTACTAGAATTACGAGTAATGTGGGCTACAACTAAATTGGGCTATCTTAACTAGGTTAGGTGTCACATTATACTAAAATGTAAACGTAGCGTAAATTGTAAATCACGGTAGAGTGCGACAGATCGATAATGCTACAGTTGAATGAAGCAGAAGGTGAAAATACCCCTGAAATAAATCAGGCTCCTAAAATATTGACTCTACAGGACACCAATATAAGTCGTTATAAAGAGGAATTTCTAGAATTAGCTCTTATAGGCGTTGGGCAGTTCGGGAAAGTCTATCTCTAAGTATAAAATCGTTTAGATGGTTGCATTTACGCAATTGAAATGAGTATTAAAACGGTAGCGGGCAGTTCGCTCGAGTAAGTATGAACAATGAAAGAAAAAAATATCCGTTTTTAAACGCTATCCCTGTTTCTTTTCAGAAAACGTGCTGTGAATGAAGTATGGGCTCACGCTGTGTTGGGAAAACAATGTCGTCCGGTATTATTCAAAATGAGCATTGCAATGGCGATAGCTTGCAATCTCTCCTGCAAGAACGTTCGCTGGTAGAATCTGAACTGAAACTATTACTATTATATGTAGCCGAGGGGCTACGTTATATACATTCCAATGATTTAGTTCACAGGGATTTAAAATCAGAAATTATCTTCTTTACAAAAATGCCTCCAGGTCATAAATCGCCAATGCCACCCAGTAGTCCGAGACAACCGGACCCAAATTCGATGGATGATTCTACGTTGCTTTTACCAGTATTTATAGCTATTGGAGCATTTATTCCGTTATTGTTTTGTTTATGTAAACTTTAATTTAAGTAAACGTTGAATTCCTAGTAATAAATTTGCTGCGCTCACTACATTTGTGCTATACTATCTCTTATTTATTTTCATATATCGAATTTGTCTTTCCATTTTTTTCTTTTCTTACTAGATTAACTGTACATTCAATATTAAACATGCACAAGAATAGGGAGTTTTTGTTAAGTTTTAAGGTTTTTTTTTTCTTTCTTTGAACTTTGTTTCAGGTACTTAGTACAGCGCAGAGTAGAAAAACATAGAAAATAACAATTGTAACACTTCTGTTTATAGAAATTTGAATTTGTACCATTAACATATAAATTGGTTTTAATTTTTGTCATTTTGCCTATTCTATGAACTAACTTCTTTTTTTGTTATAAAGCATTAGTTTTTTTCAATCGAACAAGATATTTTATTTTTTTGCAAATCATAAGCTAAAAGTACAACAAAAGCATTTTTGTAAATAAACGTATGTAATAACCTATATAAACTCATTGACTGCTAGGCAAGGCTTTTCATTTTTTACTACAACTTTACTGAAATAAAAGAAAAAAAAGAAAATTTCTTAATTTCCGCCACATGCCCATAGAGGATTGCAACTTCATCTATGGTTTCTTTTAAGAAAATGTGATTATTTTAAGAAAAAGTTGGCGGGTATAAAGATTCACCCATAGCTGAACGTAATTTTCTTAACTTTGTTTTTTTAGGATATAACTCTTTGTTAGTGAAAAGATATATTTATTTTGATGAAACGTTTGTAATACTCAGAAGAAAGCTCCAGAGATGATACCAGTTAAGGTCAAATTCTAAATCGTTCTACGTATGTCTGTCCTTCCGTCTTTGTTCAACATTCTCTTGATCGCAAAGAGGAAGGAAGATATCGGCTTCAAATTTGGTAAAAATTTAGGGGCACCATTGAAGCAGCAGTAGTGTGGAATAGCAACTAGATTAGTTAAAGGACACGCATACACCACAACATAAACTAAGTATATTTGTAAAAAAAAAATGTTGAAATTTTTTGTTCGTTAATCATACGGCAATAAATATTTTCCCATAGATAATAGATTTTCCCATATAAGTGGTCTTGAGCAGCTGAATAGGTAAGAATACGACTGCCAAGTTCATTTTCACGGGTTCAAATCTTAAGTAAAGTAAAGTTTTCTTTGGTCGATGTGGCACGCACACACACTGCTAGGCTGCTGCCTATTGCTTTTTCTTTCCTCTCTTCTTTCTGGCTGAAACCATTTTACGCGAACAGTGGACATCGCTTGAGTGATTGGTCATATTATCTGCACTGCTTGCCTTTGTTACAACCTGTTACCAGTGGCCTTTCATGGCGTAACTGATATCTCCAATTTCAAGCGGAAAGCTTACAAACACTACTCCCTTTCTACGCGACTTTTGTGTTTCGTTTTGTGTTCGTGTTTGTTACCAACACAAATGCAACGAAAAGAAAGTATATATAAGAAAAAAATAAATAATAAAATATCAAGATCTTTAGAGATGAGCATAAAAATTTAAGACCAAAGTTTGGTTCATATGCATATAACATATCCCAATTAACTTCGGTCTTTATATGTTGATTAAGACTGACATTTTCGTACGCCTTGGACATTCTTTTGAAGAACATTTGGCAATGGAAGGCATTCTTTTATTGGGTTTGAAAAGCTTACTTGAAACCTTACTATTTCATATAGTAAATAAAACTGCAATTGTTCCTATTTAAATTGTGAAGATGATCAATAGATTTGGGAATTTAATTTTTGTAATTTTAATTTCAATTTGTGCGTATTGTATTTATGAACTCAATTTCACTGCAAATTAACTTTAATTTTCTTTTTGTATTGAATGAACGAATCATTTCCGTTGTAAAAGTATCTAATATTGATTTCAATATTATTTTTTTTGCTGGATTTTGTGAAATATATTTGGTTTTCTCTATTTATATAATTTCAATAAATAGAGAATAATTCGGCTTGCGACTAAATTATTGTGTATAAATCGAGAATAATTCGGCTTGCGACTAAATTGTTGCGTATAAATAGAAAATAATCGGGCTTGCAAGTAAATTTTTTCATTTATTCACAATGATGCATTATTTTTTGGGAACTCAAATTCGGCATACGGCAGTAGAAAAAATCAAGTACTTTCTGGAATAATTATACGCAACAACAAAGCCAGTCGGTTTATGCCCATACAATTCTTGGCGACATGAGTTAGTTGTTGGTTTATAAAAATTGATGCGAAACGGTTTTCAGCATGTTCTCTAGCTTTAGTGTATAATATGCGTAGTGTACATAGTTTATTATTATTATTCTCCTTCCCTCTTGAGAAACTTTCTAAATTAACCATTTTATTATGTAAAATGAAAGGAGTTGAAAAGTTAATTACAGCAATTCTAGTTTTTAGTGACATATCATGTTTGATAACATTAAATACACACCTTCAGTTATTTGACAACATTAAGTTGATTTAGTTTAATGCAGTTATTCATATAATGCTTTTTCAAAATAAGGCCGCATATTGGAGTTGGTCGAAGACAACAAGACAGACGGACGGATGGACGCACGGACAAGCTTAGACCGATTCAGAAACTGACTTTGAATTGATCTTATGCTCATTGATTTTGCTTACATCCGCACATATTGGATATACCACAAGTTCTGTAAGGTGTAAAAGCATTTAAACAGTGTCCGTTCCTGCGCCAAAAGACAGACAGACAGGCAGACGCGCTCACATCGGAAGATGACTCTGTATCAAGTGTATATATTCGCAAAAATTTAACATAATGTTCTGGCACCATTTGTGTATGTAGGGTATAAAAAGTTTGGTTATTAGGAAGAGTGCGCTGCCTTGCCTGAATTTGAATGTGATCGTACAAGCATGGAAATGACGAGCATGGTTCAAGAAATATTTATAAAATTTCATGCTTGCCGGTTTTTCTTACCTTGAGAGCATAGTCCAGAAGTCTTCTAATCTGTTATATAACCGCGTATAATTGGCTGGGCGGGGTTCGAGAGATGGGGAAAAACTTTCGACTTTCGACTGCATTTTAAAAGATGTATGCTTGATCGCCAAATATCAGTGTTCATCTGTCGAGTATTAATTTTACCTGCGGCCACATCTCGATCGACGGAAAAGAAAATAAGTAACCTTGACTTTAACCAAAAACTGCATTTCGGCCACTTTTAATGGAGAGCGCTTGAGTAACAATCGCAAAAATAAAGTGTTTCATTAAAAGAGCGCTGATGTTGACTAATTAAGCGCTTCTTATTTTCTTTATTAGCGCATTTATTATAAATAAGGTTATAGCCGGTCTCGATTCGAACGCAAGTCGAGTTAAAAAGAAAAAAAAAGAACAGTTTACGCGAGTTGGATTTCCTACAGTGTACACAAGTAAATATCATCTTTTCTTCAAGGTGGGAGGCGTTCTTCCAGACGATTATATCCCCCAGTAACCTTTTTGTTCTTCTTATACAAGACATTTTTATATTTCTAATTAGATTTTAGTTCGATTTTTTTTATATTTAAACCATATATCTCATATAAAATCAATATCCAATGCTTTTTATTTTACTATCGAAAAACTTTACTGTATCTCGTTATTGTTGTAATTTTCCTTCGTCGTTTGAGAGAGATTTTACGGTATATATATTACTGTATATTTGTTTAAAGTTGTACTATTTTTAGACAATTCATTTAATGGAGTACATAGAAATCACATGTGTTCAATATTGTAGGTAAGTGATCCCAAGTATATGGATAAGGTGGCCAGAAGTCCTTGGCGGGCAAGAAGTACAGAGAAGAACTGCAACCTTTTGACCGGAGGAAAATTTGAATTCTTCTTCTTTTTTGGGTGATCGCGACTTTTATGTCTGGAAATTTTCAAAAACTTGATTAGCTACGTTTCAGAGCTTGTTTTTTTTTAGCTTCTCTACTTTGGAATATTAATGATCTTTTTTCTTTACATGTTAATACTTTCTCAGTTTATAGTCTCCAGACTGTAGTCAAAAACTTCTCTTTCCTGCCGAAAAGAAGACGCATGTCTGCACTTGCGTTTAAAACAATACCCTTAATAACCATACCATAGATAGAACTCAATGTAAACCTCCAACACAAGATTCTTTCTTTATAAAGCCGTTACCGAAAACATACTCTTCAATTTTTTAATGACTGATTTTAAAAAAATTCTAAATTGTGGGTGATGTCTATCTCATTATTTATTTGCCGTCTCTAATTCGAATAGTGGTGAATTCATTTACATTTTGGTCTAATAATTGCCAAACAAATAGAAAACATTAACCTCCAATTTCGATTGGCTAACGCCGCCCTTCATATATTAAAATGACTACTTTCGAAAACACTTGCAACTTAGTACTTGTCTGGGTCCTCAGTTTGGCTTGCGGCTTCTATGCGGAGCGTGTGCACGTCGTCTGTGTTATATCCATTTCTGTTAAGTATTATAAAAAGTTTATATCTATTTCTACACATTACAAATCCTTCGAAGATGTGTACAATAGCTAAGAAAAAGAAAACAGTTGCTTTGAAAGTGTG